CTGTTAAAACTCACTGATAGCTCACGGTAAGCCATCTGTACCATGCCTCAAGAAGTACAGCAAAAGTACACAAAGTTTAATAATTTAAGGAAGGGTAAATTATAAAACCTTTATAGGATGTTCCTTTGAATCATTTATATAAATAAGTTGTTATTTAACTTGATGTGAAAAAAGCAAAATAACCCCACCCCCTTTGCTCTATCTTAAATGACAGGCCAAGCATTTAAAAGGAATGGAGTTCCATGTGAAATACATTGTGAAAATGGATCTTCGCATGTTCCCAGGTTAAGAAAATCCCTCATTTCAACAGAAGGAAACCCACAAAGCATCCCACTCTTAAAAGAACCAGATGGATCTCCCAAAGAAGTTCTGCACAGATGCCATGTCAATGAACAGGCAGAACAGTGTCCAACGGACCACTGCAATGGGACTTCTGTGGGAAACCATCCCTGCGGATCTGCCCCAAATCCAAGACTCACGACTGCCGCATACCTTTCCCTGAACATTACCAGCATCCGCTGTGTTACTGAAGAAGCAAAAATGGATCACCAAAGTATTTCTTTTTCATGTCCTTGTGGCCACATGCAAAACTGCAGGATTGCGTCAAATTACATCCCCCCCCCCCCCCCCGATTTTCAATCCCGGTCGATGATAGTTTTCTAAGGATGGTTTGAGTGTACATGGGAAAGAGAGAGAGGGAGGGAGAGGGGGAGATCACGGCACTCTGGGCACCCCCCTCAGGATCACAAATCACAAATGCAGCGAATGTGAAACCTAAAACGATTCTGTTCTTCACGGTACCTGCACTTCCAAATCAAACAGGAGCCCTTACTAAATGGAGATCAGATTTACGGGCTGTTTCTAACGCCTTCCTGTGCCCTAGGAAGCCCTATGGGGAAACCTGCCCCACAGAGGAGAATGGAGAGTCACGCAGGATCCAGCTCTCTCATCCTAAAGGTTTACTGCAGATTTTCAGAACAGGTGAGGACACCTCAGAAGCAGTGCTGCCAACCTCCAGGTGGTGGCTGGAGATCTCCTGGAATTTCAACTGATCACTAGACTACACAAATCACCTGTTTATTTAAAACATTTATCCCGCCTGCTTTGGGAAGTGGGCTGCCAGGCACGATGCCCTGCCCAGGCCCCTCCCCGCCCTGAACGCCGCTCTCCCAAGGCTCCACCTGCAAGTCTCCAGGTATTCCGGAACCTGGGCTTGGCAACTCTTTATCACAAGGCTTCCGACAAGACGAGGAAAACCCTGTTTGCGTGTTAGTTTGAGGAAGTCTGGTCGCGCGTGAACTCAGTGCCCATGTTAAAGGTTTAACACATAAAAAAGCGAATTCAGCAGGGAAACAACACTTGGTGCTTCCACCCGAAACCCAAACTGCTTTTCTACTTTTCGGTGCATTTACTGCATTCCTGATTGGTACCACTCTCTAGGCAGACAATTCCAGAGAGTCGCTGTGCTGGGCTGCAGGAGAACAACTAGATCCGAGTCCAGCAGCACCTTAGAGCACCTTAGAGGTTTTCCGGGGCGTGGGAGACTTTCTGAGTCACCAGCTCTGACAAAGGGAACTTTGAGACTCTCACAAGGCGACGCCCTGAAAACCTTGTTGGTCTCCGAAGTACAACTGGAATCTAGCTATCGATGCGGGTCATCCTGGTCGATTGTCCCGTTTTTAGCAGAAGCTCCCCTTTTGCATCTTTGCCATTCCAGGAGGGTTCCTTCAAGCTTTGGGAGGACGAGAGGCAGGGGTCGGTGGACAGCTCAGCTCCCTGAGTGAATTCGGCCTGTGGATGCTTGAACCTAGAAAGGAGGAGCGTTGAACGGAGAGTGTCTGGGTTGGACCCCACAGAGGATGTCCACAGAGGGAAGGAGGGCTTTTTGTTGATTCTCTGCTCCCACTGCCGACGTCCAAGTCACTCCTTGTGCTGTTCTTGGAGGTCCAGAACAGAAATTCACTGTGAAAACTTACTAGTATAAATACAAATTATACAAAAAATGTTGTGTAATGATTACTAATACTTATACAATACTAAGACTGAAGGTTCCAATACAAATTTGTAAAGACTTTCAAGCCAATGTCTGGCAACCAGTCATAGTAAAGTGTAAAAAGTGCTATTCCGTCATTCAGTTCAAGTGTCCTGTTTTCAGAGGAAATGTAGAAATCCCAGGCGAATCCTGCTGACGGAGGGCAGGTTTCCTCTTTCGTCAAAGCTGGCATTACTTAAGAATCCATTCCTGCCCCCAAAATTCAAAATTTACTCCATTGGTTTCAAAAAGGACTGGTACTAGTATTACCAATCATTACACAGGGTTTTTTTTTTTTGTATAATTTGTATTTACCAATTACAATAAGACATGAATCTATAATTAGCAAGCTTTCCGTGATTCTCTCGTTATTTTACAGTTCTTGGAGGTACAACAGAAAGGTCGTTTCTTTTCTTTTTTGGGGGGGGGATAGTTTGGGCTGCAGTGGGAGAGGAGACACAATGCTTTGCTTGTGGAAATCCTTCTGCCAACAGAAATATCTGGAAGGATCCAAGCCAGTGCTTCGTTGTAATAGCACATTTTGAAGAAAGTTGTATAGAATTCCTGTGGGTTGTTCTACTGCATGGATCAGCTGCTCCTGTGCTTAAACAATCTGGCTGCTGGTAATTGTCCTTCTGTTTGGGGCTAGGAAATAGGATGGACTGGGATATCGTTCACTTCCAAAGCTAAGACGTGGCCATAATCCTTTGTCAGAAGCTGATAAATGCCAGTCAATGTCTCTGTCCAGACTGGGCTGCTGAGGACTGGGCTGGAACCCTTCAGGTGCATAATTTGGCCCTACAAAGTAGCTGTAGGTTTCTGCGACGAATCAGGGCTGCTTGTGTGTTAAGTGCCCTCGAGTCACTTCTGACTTATGGTGACCCTATGAATGAATGACCTCTGAAACATGCCATCACTGAAAGCCTTGCTCAGGTCCTGAGGACGGAGGGCTGTGGCTTCCTTGACTGAGTTGGGCCTTCCTTTCCCCCTGCTGCCTTCAACCTGCTTCCTCTTTTCCTGCTGCCTTTTCATTTCTGTCTTTTCCAGTGACTCTTATGATGTGACCAAACAACAATACAAACTACAGTACGAAGTACGATAGCCTCAGTTTAGTCATTTTAGCTTCTTAGGGAGAGTTCAGATTTGATTTGACCTAGAACCTACTGATTTGCCTTTTTGGCGGTCCAGTGTGTCCGTAAAACTCTCCTCCAGTACCAACAGACCTGCTCAGGTCTTCCAAAGGGAGGGCCCTTTGTGGCTCCCTTGACCGAGTCCCTCCATCTCTCCTCTTTTCCTGCTGCCTTCAACGTTTCCTGTCATTATTGTCTTTCCCAGGGAGTCTTGTCTTCTCGTAATGTGTCCAAAGCACGATAGCCTCAGTTTAGTCGTTTTAGCTTCTTAGGGAGAGTTCAGGCTTGATTTGATCTAGAACCCTCTTCGTTGTCTTTTTGGTGGTCCACAGGATCTGTGAAACTCTCCTCCAACACACCACATTTCAAAGAAATGGACTTTCTTCCTGGCAGCTTCCTTCACTGTTCATTTTTCACACCTATACATAGTAATGGGGAATACTATGGGATGCATTACCTTGATTTTATTGCATGACTACTGAAGGGCGATTGCTCCCCTGACACCATTTCCCCAATTCCTTTAAGTCCCAGTACAGAAAAAAGATCGAGTGAGACCGCTTTCGGTGGCAATGTGTTGAAATGAGCAACACAGCAGAACTTGAGTACCCTGATTGAAAACTGAAACGACTAAGGTGTCAGTTCCCTCGCTGATAGGTGTAGATGGGGAGACTCAGGAGGAAATGAGGAGATCTGTCTGTCTCTGAGAACCAGAAGTCCGTTCCTTGTAATAAATTGGGGATCACAGCTAGGATCTAAAGACCATGAAGCTCCGGAGTCTCGGGGGCAGAGGATGGGCGCCTCCCCTCAAACCAGTCCAGCACTGTCACACAGTGGCCAAAAACACCAGGTGCCATCCGTTTCAAGACCAGAGGGTGATATGGCATGAGGAACCTCTTATGGGAGACTTAGGGCCATGCTATGCGAGACATTGTTAATGGATCAGGCCCACGGAGCAGACGTTGTTGGAAACGTTTGTGGGACAGCTTCAGGCCACAGCACAGGGAGAGCCCCTTAACTCTTGCCTCCCCCCCTGTCTTTCCAAGCCAAAACAGTAGGCGGGGGGGTTATCTGTACCATTTTGGTGCCTCAAGTCCGATCGTGCCCCGACAGACCTTTACAGTTATGTTCCTCAGGGGTCATTTCGTAGAAAAGAGATAGGGGAACTCATTAGCATAACTCATTAGCATATGCCACACCCCCTGACATCACCGGAAGTGTGTCATAAGGCCACACCCCCTGACATCACCGGAAATGTGTCATAAGGCCACACACCCCGCCCCCAACGGTCCCGGCCGCCACCACCAGCCTTGCAGCTCCACTGCCGAGCCCCATGAGGCCGGAAGCGGGGGGCGGGGCTTCGTCATGTGCCCCGCTCCCCGTACCTCATCCAGGGGAACTGTGTTCCCCCGTGTTCCCCCCCGAAATGACCTCTGATGTTCCTTTACAACTATGAGGCTGCTTCTGTCTCTCCAGGAAAGCGAGCTGGCTCTGGGGAACCTCACTTTGACCAGGTCCAGGTGGGGAATCTCCTGGTTTTGGGGGTTTCTGCCCGCCGCCAGCCCTAGGGCAGAGCTGCCTCTGAGAGGGCGGTTGCCACCAGACCTGGCCGGCGAGCCAGCCCACTATCGGCCAGCACTTGTGCCCTGAGCCCTGGTGGGTTCCCCCACCCTTTTGTTTTGCTCCGAGGAAGTGGTGGGCAGGCAAACGCCAGTGCTGGCTACAGGGGCTGAAACCCTGGCCCCAAACAGCTACGTCACTGGCCGATGTCCCCGACAGGATGATGTCACCAGGAAGTGACATCATCACGCTGGGGACATCACATAGTGACGCTCTGGTTTTTGGGCAAAACTTTATGGTTTGAGGGTAGTTTTACGATATAGTTTTGCCCTCAAACCAGAGCATCTTGTGTGTGACATTATCACGTCACCGAGCCCCACCCCACTCCTGGAGCCCCTCCCACCCTCTGCCAGCACATCGAGGAGATCTGGCAACCCTACTCACATATGTTTGGACCTAAGGTCACAATCCTATCCTCGTTTACCTGGGAGTAAACCCCACTGAACACAACAAGGCTTGCATTGTCAGGAGCCCTTTGGGGCCCAGCCCCCTGTGCTTTCTAAACAATGCGTCCTGGGGAACGACTCAATTACATTTCTAACAGTATTCTGGAAACATATTAGACAGTCCTCATTTGGCAATGTGGACCTGAGTAATGCTTCTTGAAGGGCCAGGACAAATGGCCAACTTTATTGTAGTCAGGTACAAAAATATTCTTCTGGAACGCTCGAGCGAGGCAGTTGTGAACTCCGTATCGGACAAGCACAGAGGCGGGTGTGTGTGTGTGGGTTGCCAGCTCTGGCTTGGGAAATTCCTAGAGATTTGGGGGTGGAGCCTGGAGAAGGTAGAATTTGGGGAGGGGACAGATCTCAGCAGGGATATTTGATTCCATAAAATGTACCCTCCAGGGACACTGACCCCTGTTGTCTGGAGAGCACATAATTCTGGGAGATCTCCAGCCACCGCCTGGAGGTCGGCAACCCTGTGGGTGCCAGAAAACCATTACCTCTCTAGAAAACAGCTCCACATTTTGAAATATTTGTCTCAGCATAACTGCTACAATTTCTCCTTAAGGAGAATAAAGGCGGTCTTTCTCCCATCTCTGCAAAACTAGGGACCCGTTATTTCCATCAGCGATGGGAACTGGTCCAGTCCCCCTATTCATGCCAAAACACCCCCCCCCAATAAGTGTTTTGGGGGAAGGTCTCTGTTCTGTAGACGGGGCAAGACGGATGTTTCAGGTAGGTCAGAAGGTGAAATAGTTCAGGATGGGAAATGGCTTTCTAAAGAAAGAACATCAGGGTTAGTGCCTGATAACCAAACATGGTTTAAAAAGGGGTTTCTGTAGCCTGGCATATTCACCACCAAAGGGCAGCCATAAGATTTGGAGGTGTTTTCTTAATTTTGGAAACTCACAATAATGTCTTGCTCTATTACACACCAAAGAGATACAGAGAAAAACTGTTTCTGATGGCTCGGGTTTCAAAATCCCACCACCAAATACTAATCTCATATTCTAGAAATAAATAAAAGGTTTATGAAATAAATTCCATTCTCTTCACTGTTCCAGCCAAGATCTTCCTCCTTCTAGTCAAAAGTACATCCTGACCAGGTTTCATTCAGAATTTTTGAGTAAACAGCATGCCAGAGTTGAGGGAGAGCACAGTCTCCGAGAGGCCAAAAGCAGCTTGCATGGAGCCACACAGGAGACAAAACAGATGGATTAAAGTGAACAGCCACAGTCAAATGTGGGACAGAACCCTGCTGTCCAGGGAGAGCAGGGATGGACCGCTGGGACTTTTTTTGCTTTGTTTCCTTTACAGGGGCAGATTTCACTATCTGGCTTTCTACACAAGGGCTGCATAAGGGCTTCCCCAGATTAATCTACAGTATTCTTGTGGACAGAAGGGTCACTTGTTTTTACAAACTCAGGGCCAAGCGACTGATTGGCTGTCTTCAGTATCATTAGTCAGAGGTATGTTTTAGTGTAGAAAGTTCCCTTTTGTTCCTGCACTCATCAAAATGAATGATGCTGCATTGAATGAGCACGGTTCTTCAAAGGTTTCAAGATGGACGTCGTTTGCATGAAAGCCAAAGTTGTGATTTGACTGGGTCACGGAAGAACGTTCTCTCAGTTGCATTCTTTAAGCTGCAGCCTCTGACTAGAGGGTGAGAGTTCGTGGACATGGAGCCCCCATTGTGTGGGGGACAGAAGGGACAATCTTCGTGTCAAAGGCAGTTTGGTTCCCTGCTGCGTCCTACCTGGATGGTGATGCTGAGGAAAATGTAACTGGAAAGGAGTTTTAACAGAATCCCGGAATAATTAATTCAGGGGGCTTGATGGTATCCAATGTTGTTGTATCAGATTGGGAAAGCCACTGAATGGGTCAAGACAGGTGCACAAAACCCCTATACGGCCACTTTTGCCTGTCTAGCTAACTGCTGGCGTGCTGCAGTTAATGGAACCAGAAACTCATCTTTCAAGTTGAGTGATAGGAGGTAAACTGTGCAATCCCTGTGCAAGTGTGCTATTACACAGAATGTGTTGTGTACATGTGAAGTTGTGAGACGTCCTAGTGGCATTCCACTAGAAGGAAAACAAGGAATCCCCTTAAAAAAAGGACTTCCATCCTTGCAGGACAGAATAAGTGAAAGTTGAAGGCACCTGGACTCCATCAGCATATCTGTATATGCCTGTGTGTACACACGCTTAGACACGCCAATAATATATACACAAGTAGACACACATTTTTACATTCTTTGGTGGAAAGATAAAAACAAGGGTGCATTTCTGCTCAACCACACTGTTGTCTGAAGGATCGCAGTAACTGTCACAAAAGTTGGTTTGCCTGTCTAAAGGACTGCCCTTTGAACTGACAGAGTACTCCACAATTACTACAACTGGCCACAAGGAAAATGAACATAAATGCCTCTCACACATGACAAGACATTCCCATGGGAAAACCTTCTCGGAAACCACATCCATGAAGTCAGACAGAACAAGCACGATGCCATTTCCAAAATCACCCCTCCTCCCTAGCCCTTAATTTTATTGTGTCACCTACACAGTTTTTGCTTTAACCCTGTATGTTGTGGGACTTTTTTTTTTTTGCCCGCTTCAATGTTATAATGTTAATCTAGGAGGTGATGGGATATTAGGAGCGGTGGATGGACCTGGCAGGAGAACGCTACGTCGAACAGCTGTCGGCAGCCTTGGGGGCGGTGCTGGAGGATGGCTTTTCTGCTGGGGAGGCTGTCGTCACACCTGCATCTCCGAAGTGCCCATCAGACCCAGCGCTTTGGCTTCCTCTGGGGTCAGTCCGCTCTTTAGCGTCCTCCTTACTGCGGCGAGAAAAGAGAAGAGGGAGAAAAAACCCCTGTGATGCTGGTGGAAGACTCAAGACAGCAATATACGCCAAGAAAATGACAACCACGAGCATTCCTTCCCTGATTTTACATGAGTTACCGAGATGAATGTTGTCGGGATGGAATGAAGGCTTTGTATAGCAGACAGAGAGATGGCGCTGTGCTGTAGAGGACAGTCTTTGGCAGGGATCCCCAACCTTTTTAAACTTGCAGGCACCTTTGGAGTTCTGGCACAGTGTGGTGGGCGCAGTCACAAAATGTCCGCCGCAGCAGGTGGAGCCAGCCACAGAAAGGCTGCGACAGCTTACCATCGGTCACACATTTATTTATCTTACAGTTCTTTGACTCAAAGGTCTTGAACAGAGCAAGATCCCACCCTCTTACAGGCAATCACTGCAGCTAAATATTTAGCGACAGCTACAAGGTTGGTTTCCAATCCTCATCTATGAGGAACAACAATTTTTTGAGATGGTAAATTCACATGACCTATTAAGAGGGAGGACAAATACCTTTCTCTCAAACCAGACCAGATTTCACCCTCCGATAAGATATGCTTTGAGAGCCAAAGCTCCCTTCATCAGACAGTAACAAGATTTTCTGTTAAACACCTTCATTATGCTGTATGCTAATTTGCTGCTCACTCCCTACCTATATGTATGGACTGGCAACTTCTATTTCAATGTATCTGAAGAAGAGTGCATGGATAAAACTTTGTTGGTCTTAAAGGTGCCACTGGAATCTAACTTTGTTCTTGTCATTACGAACGTTACAAAATCCCAGAATGTAATGTAATCCTGATCAAATCGACATGGTTTCTAAATGATAAAATACTTCAAACCCCACTCTGTTGTCAGACCCACCAAATAAATGAAATGCATTTGGATGTGTAGAAGTTTGTGAATAACGGCCTTGTAGAAAGACTAATGCATTATACTGCAGCCACCCTAGCAATGCTGGACGGAGCGTTCCAGATGAGGTCGTATGTGGTCAGACATTTTGGGTCAATAAAACCTTCTGAGCATCTACCCCTAAACACGTGAGAAATACATCTATTTTGAAGCCAACTTTTTGCCCACTCTAAGGGTTACGTTGAGACTCTGAGTATCAAGCTGGTGAGAGAGCTAGGATTTATTATAATTTACAATGGAAAGCAGTCTCAGTCTAAACATTAACTGAGACCTTAAACCTTGTTGATATTGTTCACCAAACGCAAATGAAAACCAGCCCTGTGGAATAAGGCACAGCATTTTATTGCTATCTGATTTTGTTCTTGCAGGCCATTCCTCTGGGAGGAAGGGGGCCTGGCAAAGAGGAAGAACACGTGGGGGGGTCTTAATATGGGGAAGGGGAGAAGAATGGAAGGCAGCTTATAGCCGGAATATTTAACAAGGGCAAGCTGCCAAAATATTCACAGATACACCCCGCACACACAAGGGTTAAGTGGGAGAAGCCAGAGCCACCTGGAAAAATTGGCACCGTGGGGAGGACGAAAAGCCAGGGGGGGCAAGCAAGTGGGGGGCAAGCAAGCTGGCAGTCGTGGCAAGGCCGGGGGACTCTCGTTGCCAGAAACTTTTTTTTATTATTTCATTTTCACATACAACATAAAACAATAACAGAAACTATAAACAGTGTGACAAAGTATACATTAGACAGTCTTATGACTACTCAAACATACACGACTAATGCTGCTGAAAACCCTATTCTGCCTCCAGGCAGAGAGCAGGCCACTGCCAGCTCACGTGCGCTGCTGGAATGCTTGTGCTCTCCAGCCAAATCCAAAGGGGGGGGGGCAGTGGCTCAGTGGCAGAGCATCTACACGGCATGCGCAAGTCTCAGGTTCAGTCCCTGGCATCTCAGTTTACAATCTCAGCACTTTTTAATGGTGTGATTGTTATATGGTTTTATGATTATTATACTATTTATTGTTGTTTTTATGCTGTTGTAAGCCAACCTGAGCCAGCCATGGCTGGGAGGGCGGGATACAAATGTAATAAATAAATAAATAAATAAATGGGTAGTCAGTGAAAGACCTCTGCCTGAGAACACGGAGAGCCACGGCCAGCCGGAGCAGACAATACTGATCCTTGTGGACCGATGGTCTGGTTCAGGGTCAGGCAGTGGTCATGTGTGTTCAGGTGCACATGCGTTCCCATGTCTGTCCTGCATGACCTTCCCAAGGAAAGGGACTCATGTGGGAGGTGCTTCCTTAGCATACTCAAGGAAAGGGAAGGGGCCCTTAAGGACAGGCTGGCTCAGGGGGACCAAGTGCTGCTTGGCCAAAAACGCTGCTGATCCTCCAACGGCGTTACCACCGAGGACGTTCCCTCACTCCACCTGTCATTCTTCACTTGTGGTTGCTGTCTCTTCTGAGATCTAATTTCCAGAAGATGTTTAAAAAGCGGAGGAAGAGGGCATGACAAGGCTATTTTCATTCTTTATTTTGAATCCATCTCAGTCGTTATGGACTCTTTATGGACTTGCTAGCCTGGTGGCACAGAAATCACTTTCAGGGAGTCCGTGTTTGAACCCATTAACAGGGATACTTGGCTATTGCTTCATTAACATCATGAGCATCATTGTCATCCCTAAATCCTATATGTCACCTTGAAATCGGCCACATGAGTCATAGGCTTTGCCCAATGAGTCTTTCTCCTCAATTCCCACACACTCAGGCCTTCTGTGCGGAAACTCCAGGTTTAACAAGACTCAGCAAAGGTGACCTTTCACGACTTTACAAATGACTTTCAGAAATGATAACCGCCTTTCTGACCTCAGTGATGGTGGACAGGGCTGTCGAGTCACAGCCGACTTATCTTGACCCCCAGAGGGGTTTCCCGGCAAGAGACGAACAGAGGTGGCCGGCCATTGCCTGCCTCTCGGTAGTGACCCTGGACTTCCCTGGTGGCCCCCCCTCCAAACACTAGCCATGGCTGACCGTGCTGAGCTTCCGAGACCTGATGAGATCGGGCCAGCCTGGGCCACCCAAGACAGGGCTCCCTCATCACTACAAAGCAATAAGAGCACCAGGATGGAAGAATATAAGATCAAATACAAGCCCTAGGGACATAAGAAGAGTTGGTTTTTATACTACCTAAAGGAGTCTCAGAGCGGCTTACCATCTCCTGTCCCTTCCTCTCCCCACACCCTGTGAGGCAGGTGGGGTGGAGAGAGCTCTGAGAGAATGGTGAGTGACCCAAGGTCACCCAGCAGACTTCACGTGGAGGAAGAGTGGAGAACCAAACTCAGTTCTCCAGATTAGAGATCGCTGCTTTTACCCACGACACCACACTGACGTTCAATAAGAAGGGCCCTGCTGGGTCAGACCAGTGAGGGTCCATCTAGTCCAGCATCCCATCTTGCACAGTGGTCAACCAATTCCTCTGGAGGTCTAGCTACAGGGCATGGAGGCTGACACCTTCCCCTGGTGTTGCCTCCAGACACTGCTTAGCTTCTGAGACCTGGTGAGATTGGACTACCTTTAGCTCAACTCTTAAATATAAAGTACCATGCCTTAAGAGTTCCGATTGTTAGGTTTTGTACCAGCCAGCACTAGCTTGACAAGGTGCACAGAATTTTGTGGCTGGACACAACAAGGACAGGTTCAAGGCATGAAGTTTAAAGATGTAAATGGAGTGCTCATGTGACGACAAATCTTTATACTGGATCGATTCAGGTGTGTAGCCGTGTGGGTCTGAAGCAACAGAACACAGTGTGAGTCCAGTCAGGCACCTTTAAGACCAACAAAGCTTCATTCTGGGTATTTGTTGGTATTGAAGGTGCCCCTGAACTCCAACTTTGTCCTGTATGTTGCATATTATTCTCTGATGAAAACTTTCCATTCTACTTTTACAATCCGGGCAAACTAATGATGGCTTTTAAAAACGGTCATGCCATTAGCACATTTGTTTTGAATACAATGCAAGTGCAAACCCACAGAGGTCCATGTGTACCCACACAAAAGGGATAGCTCTTCTTACGTGATTTCCTGTTTGCTCTGGATCGCTTCCTTTCCCTAGGCACTGCTCGCTGGCTTGGCACTTGCGTAGCAGACTTGACAATGCGATCCATGATTTCATCCGCTGCATCATCAGTAGCAGTAGGCGAGTCATCATTGCCGGCAGTCCATGAGCCAACACGGCCTGGGAAATACAAATTTCAGTTCTCCACCACTGTATATTCTGTATTATGTTGCCAACTATATTTGTTTCTATTGGGTACAACAGGTAAGAACAGTGGCAAATGGTTAAGGTCATCAATATTTATGAAACACTAGAGAACAGGTTCTGGGTCCATGAACCCTGGGACTTTTCTGCACTTTGTAAAAGTGCACAGAAGTTGAGAAGACCTCAAACTGGAATACTGTTCTGCTCCGGGAATAAGGTATGCTGAGTGACTGGCAACTGACTGGCAATGGGCCTCCCTTGAACGCAGTGATTCTTAACAAGCAAGAGATTTATTTTAAAAACTGGCACCCTGTTTTTCTGCCAGTTTAATATCTATTTTAAGGCACATCGGTTCATAATAAAAATAAAGCACAAATTTAACGAAACCACCACCAATAACAATAGAGAAAAACCCTGACCTGCCTCAGAGGATTGTTGGGAGGATAAAATGGAGAGGAGGAGAACCACTTGGGCCACATTGGGCCCCCCGCTGGGAGGAAGGCGGGGCATAAAACGAAGTTAAGAAAGAAATCAGAAAAGCTGCCTGCACAAATTCAGAAATCTCCATAAATGGAGGTGCGTGGAAGGCAACAACGACGGCGGCGGTGGCGGCTGCAGCAGGACTTCGGCTGCAGCAGCATAGCGGCATGGCGTCGAGGCGGCAGCAAGCAGTAGCAGCAGAGCTGGAAAGGAGTGATCCCTGGTGGCCAGCGGCAGAAACAGCAGGTGGCTGTCATCAGCAGAGGCGGAGGCACAGCGACGTCATCCAAAGGCGCGGCGGAGCCTGAAGGACGCAGCCAGACCGGAGGAGGACGTCACCTGTGTATCAGACCGCCTGACTGCCTAAGCCCCAGGAAAAGAACAGCTAGCTGCCGGGAATGGAGCCGAAAAAGAACAGCCGAGCCGAAGAGACATCATCAGACTCCACCTGGGTGCCGGTAGGCAGCCCCACCCATAGAATCAATGTGGCCTTAGTTAGGGTTCAATGTGACTAGCACCCCACATGTAAACCGCCCAGAGACCCCCAAGGGGGTTAGGGCGGTATATCAAATCGAAGTAATAAATAAATAAATAAATAAAATAAGCTGGGCACATGACCGATGAACCGAGATGTTGTTCACCTGGCTAGTCTTCTCCTGGACAAAGCTGCTGTGAGACAGAAGATGGTTTGGTGATGGAGGTGCCGTCATTTGGACTGCTGCAATACTTGAATGGCTCAGCTGTTCCAACTGACACTGTACAGTATCCTCGCCTACCACACTAGGCCAGGGCAACTGGAACAGAGTCCCTCAGCTGAATGAAGATTTGTGGCGATGATTTTCATGATTATCCTACTCATCTCTACTGCTATAAAAGCCAGTTTGAGAATATGGCGTAATATCAACATTAAAAAATAAATATGCTGAACTTTACCCCGGTTAGCTCTGCTTCGAGTGCGCACTCCTAACAGGGTGGTGTTTTCCCCACTCGGAGAGGATGTCTGCAGGACAGCTTTCATGTGCTCATGCTCTGCTGCATCTTCAGCATACTGCAGCCCCTGTGGTTGGCTCTGAGGCGTCGGAGAACTGCAGGAGAACTTCCCAGACTGGAAGAGGAAGACAAATCAATAAAAAGATAGCTAAATAGATAAGACGGATAGACAGACAGATAAACAGATAGCTAAATAGACAGATAGAAAGTCATACTGAGAGATAAATAAGATAGATAATTAGATATATAGACATATATAGGTAAGACAGATAGACAAACAGTTAAATATACAGCTAAATAAATAGATTAACAGACAAATAGACTCGGAGATGTGTAAGTAGATTTTGTATTTTAATAGTGAAGTTGGCCACATCTTTGGGTACGTAAATCCAGTGACTGGAGCTGTGACAGGGCAAGGGAGATCTTTTACAAACCTAAAAAGGGCCCCAGTTTGCAGAAAAATGTAAACTCTTTTATATACATTAGGGAGTTTAAGAAATCCAAAAATCATAAAAGGAGGGCCTGTAGCTTTAAGCAAAGGATTCTCTCAGTGACAGTTGCTAGGCTACACAATATTCCAGGGAGGGTTTTTGTGAGTAAAAAGGTAAGGGGAGGGGACAGGGCCCTTTCCAGGCCTATTTTGGCCTTTGAGGGAGGACTCATTAGGGTTAGGCGTGACTAAGGTTGCCAGCTCCAGGTTGGGAAATTCCTGGAGATTTTGTGATGAAGTCTGATTAGTTCAGGCTTTGGGAGGGGAGAGGCCTCAGCATTGTTTAATGCCATGGAGTCCAGCTATCTGGAGTTCAATTGTCACTCTGGGATATTTCCAGGTCCCACCTGGAGGCTGACAACCTTCAGTCTGGCAGCACCCTCTGGGTGACTTGATACCCCCTGACTTGCATGACTCAGCTAGGCCTGGCTGCTTGCTACTGTTCAACGGCAGCCACCCTATGAAAGCCAGTGTGGTGCAGCAGCTAGAGTTTCAGAGAAGGGTCTGTAAGACCCAGGTTTGAATTCCCATCTTGCTGTGGAAACTCACTGGGTGATTTTGGGCCGGTCACACACTCTCAGCCTAACCTACCTCACAGGGTTGTTGTGCAGATCAAAAGGAGAAGAGGAGAATAATGTAAGCTGCTTTGGTAACCCACTGTGGGGAAAGACCATCGTTTTCCTAGGTAGAAGCTGCAGAGAGGGAGGTGAAGGAAAGCTGAAGACAGAGGGGCAGACAAAGGTAGCTTGACTGTTGGATGGGAAGGAGACTGAGCTGCCAACTCCAGGTCAGGAAATTCCTGGAGATTTGAGGGGTAGAGCCAGGCCCCTAGCCAGAAACTTTTTTTGGGGGGGAGGGGGCAGTAACTGCTGATGGGGGATGGGGGAGGGATAGGCTTGCCAAGTCCCCCCCGGGGGGCGGGGAAACCCCCGCCCCAGAGGCCC